TCTACGGTTTCCTCCTGACTCGGACGTCTACTCGGACGTCTACTCGGATTGACGGCGCAACGGCGAAGTTGGGACCCGGTACAAGAGGAGCTACGTGGCGTGATAGGCGCGGTGGGCTGCAAAGCGGTTGGGTGCGAGATATTTTAATAAAACTGCCCCGACTCCGATAGCATTTGTGCCTGCACCGTAGCCGGATTATCGTGTGGGCAACATCGACAAAATCCCATCCGACAAAAGCGGAAGCTAGGTGAACGGTGGGACGCGAAATTGTTGGGTGGTGAAGAAAAATAAAAAAATGGAGGGAAAGTCGTGGGTGATTCAGCTGATCATTTGAGTGAAAGGTTGAGCCCGTGCATCACTCCACAGCGAATTTCGGGGTCTACTCGGTAGACACCTGAAAGGGTCTGAAATTTAAACATGGATGCGCGGCGAGGGGTGCATTGCCAAGGATACCTGGGATTCGCTAAGTGGCTTCGACGGGTGCGAAGACGGGTGAACGTCGGACTTATGTAGATGCTTGTTGATCATTTTTCTTCTATGCATTTTGTCTCCTGCTGTTGTTAGCGAGGTGTCCAATAATTTCATTATTGACACATCGTCGTTGCAAGGATTTCGGACAAACGCGACACCCGCTTCGGATGGGTGTCGTGACACAACGGTGCGCACTGTGTCACGTTCGTGTATCTACAGTGTCAGAGGTCCACTGGTGATCCCCGATTGATCCTACAGAAGGGTTACAGGCATGTTGGCCTGGGGGGTTATGGGCGCACTGACCCGCTACTTAACAAGCCCTTTTATCCCAATGGTCTAGTGGTTGGGATTCTGACATGGTAATAGAGCGAAGGTCTCAGGTTCGAATCCCGATGTATGCACTTCGGGCATCCCAGTGCCGGGGGGTTTCAGAGGTCCACAGGTGATCCCCGATTGATCCTATGGAAGGGTTACAGGCACGTTGGCCTGGGGGGTTATGGGCGCACTGACCCGCTACTTAACAAGCCCTTTTATCCCAATGGTCTAGTGGTTGGGATTCTGGCATACAGACACTGCTGGCAATGGTGCGTTGAATGTTTCTAGTGCCAGTGTGGCTTCGTGGAAGGCAGGGATTGGCTGCTGTGGTGATACAGTGCAACATCTGTTACGCTGTACCACCTGATTTGCCGTTTTACCTGATGCGTTGGCAAGACGTCTAGCCACAACGCGGGGCATTTGATTGTCGTGAAACATTCTAGACCGTTCCTTGCAACAAGCCGCGTCGCACACGTGAGACCTTATCGCCTCTGGAGTCCAGATGCGCTCAGGAAAAGCACTTCCGCAACAACGCAGTTATAGACGTAATTGTAGGGCACGAAAGGGGGAAAAAAAGAAATAAACCAATATGCGATCAAGGAGACCGCGACAACGCGGGCCTCACAAGCTAATCGGGCAATTTCTTCACAACTCTGGTTGTAGGCTGTTATGTATTATTTGTGGTTGTAACCGTTTCGACTTTTTTGTCCTCGATGAAACTCATTTATGAAGTTGCGTCACGATCTAATGTCCATATAGAACCCATTAACATATGCACTCCTGTGTACATGATGCGATGCGACACCTTGAATTATGGCGTATTTTGAAACAAGTAATCCAGAAGTGTTTTCGGATAGGCGGGCCAGTGTGAGGCGTAGCCAAAGAATTCGCATCGGGTAGTGCACAAGGAAGAAATGGCCAAATTGAAATCATTCACCCTAATTGTATTAACTTGCCACCATTGTGATGCTAAAATAAGTTCATAATCTGTGTGGCGAATGAAAAGTACTCCACTGGGTCATGTAGGGTCATCGTCAACCATCAGCTTCCACCACACCATGACAGAAAACACAAGAAACATTACTTGGGCAGGCAGCAGCAAAAGAGTTTCGGCCGAGCCAGCAGGGGTCACCTTACCCCACCCTCTTTCCCATCTCAATCTTCTTGATCCCCAAGCCGTTTCACAGCTAGATGACGACATTCTAACTCAAGAAATTAAGAGGCGTAAGCTTCTAGCTAAAGAGGCTGCCAGTAAGAAAGTTGCCGTCAACGCCCTTCTTGGTGTTCTGACGGCTGCTCAGGCAGAAGCACCAGTCCGTCGGGGCGGTCGCCAGAGCAAACGTGGTGGCGAAGGGCGCGATCGTACAAACGCGTCGAATGGCAATATTCCCCCTGGCGGAACCTCTGAAGTTGGTTCCGCCGGCAAACCTTCCTCTACACCTGGTTTTGCTGGCGCACCTTCCTCTACACCTGGTTCTGTCGGCGCACCTTCCTCTGCACCTGGTTTTGCATGCGCACCTTCCTCTGCACCTGGTTCTGCCGCCGCACCCTCCTCTGCACGAGGTTCATCCGACGCACCCTCGTCTATGCCTGTTTCCGCCGGCGCAACCTCCTCTGCGCCAGGTTCCGTTGTCGTCCCCTCTGCGCCTGGTTCCGCAGTCCCAACCTCAGCTGACAATTCCAGAGTCGCAATCTCAGCTCCATTAGCAGCCGCGCCTGCCGATATTCACACCACCGCTACTGACACTGGCGGCATAGGCTGTAGTGCGCCGTCAGTCGCCGCTACTCGAGCTCTCCCTGCACCTTCATCTGCTGCCAGTGTGTACGTCCCGAGCTCGATGATGGCAGCAGTCATCGAGGCGGCTGAAGAGGGAGGTGCTGATCCTTTCCTCGCGTACGGCAGAAGCAGGAAGCAACGATGATGAGATGAACGACAATGAGGCATAAGACGTTGTCGGTGCCCAGGCAGGGGATGATGCCGAGTTGCAGCGACGCTCAGCGTGAACGACGCTTAGCGTGCAGCTAGTGAACGCAATCCAAAATCCGCGGCGGAGCGCTATGGCAGAGAAGGTTCCGCTTCTAGTACCAGCAGCACGATCGAGCACATCGGAGTTGGAGTGAACTGCGGGACTTGCGGAGAGTGAAGGGCGGACGCGTTACTACTAAACCGTCACCAGGTTCCGTCTCTTGTAGAACTTGTTGTTTAACTTTATAGTGTTATACGCACAAGCAAAAATAAACCGAGCTTCACCGTATCCATAATCCGTAGATTCGCCATCGAAATTTCCTTGTAGCTGAACGCGTTTGTTTCACGTAGAACTCGAGTTTGTTGACTTCCCCAGCAGCGCAGTTCGACGGTGACTATTATGAATGAACTTGCAGAGTGCGTAGTAAAACGAATCACGAGAATGTTGAACTACTGAATCACGATACAATGAAAGTGCCGAGGCCTAAATATGGTAAATGCTAGCTAAGCAGGGAGGTCGGGAAAGGACGGCTCGGTGATGTCACGATTGGAGCGCGGGCCGACTCGGGAGTGGTTCGGCCGACGAAATAGGCCGAACAGGTTCGTCGCGTGACCCTCGGGATGTCCTCGCTAATAACTAAATACAGTAAGGAATTCTAATTCCTTACACTCTCCCGCCTTTCAAACATGACCGCCTCATAATCTAGACGAGTCCCTCAATAACGAGGTTTCCGTTGATCTTATGTATAGCTGAATCCGACGGCTGAAATCCCTTGGGGCGAATTTGAAGAAATAGTTGGAATTGAGGCTATTGATGAAGTCAGATTTTGATCTGACAGTCGACGATGAACTGGCCCAAATGAGTGGAAAGTTGGGTTGTGGGCCGTTGATCGGGCAGTTGTAGATCTGACGGTCGACGATTGACGCGAAAAGAGAGGGAGCAGTCTGATGAGAAATTCAATCGCAGCTACTCAGATACGTTGATTGCAATGTCGCGATCGTGGCCGTCTCCCGTGCTGCTGCATTCTGACAAAGTCAGGAATAGTGCCGAGAAGACGCCGAAGGAAAACAGTGCAATGCACTTTCTCCCCCCCTTCCAAGATAACACCCCAGAAAATTTTCCACAGCTGCGCCGAGATGAAAACCAACAAAGTCGGGTGTTAAGTCCCACTGAAAACGAGTGTCGAGCGTAGGAGTCCAGGCATAGTTGTGTTGGTATGGAAACTCGATGACGAAACCGGGTGTTACGTGGCCCAAATCGTCGAGGGCGAACCAACGAAAGTAGACCAGAAACCGTGACGGAAAAATGTCGTTGCTCGAACTGTCTAAGTTTGTCGTTACACTACCAAAACTATCGGTGGTACTTTCTGCAGCTGCAGCTTGCAGCACCCGACGTGGTTAAAATCAGATCACTTGTCGTGGGCGGGTCGAGTTGGATGAGTTGTCGTTGATAGAGTTGGGATGCCCGTCCTGAAATCCTCTGGCCGTGAAATCAGGGTGTGACAAAAACGTTGTCGATGAAGGCGATATGTAGCGAAAGTGAAAGCGAGAGTCGGCGATGGTCGTTGCAGTAGTAACCGGATCAAATATCACTTCGGTTGAAATTGTCGAACGCATTATCCGGGTCAAGTGACGTCAGCACAACCGGCAGTTTTGTCCATACTTGCCGAGAAAGTTTGTCGCAATTCGCCGAGGGCTCCTGGGTAGAGATGAAAATTTGCAGCTGCCTCTCCTCCCCTTTGCACTCTTTGTGCTGCCTCCTCCAGTTCGTCGTAATTCGTTCGTACCCCTGAAAAAGTCAATAATTTCCGCGATGTTGCCTCACGTCGTTGTCGCGCGCGTTTTAACCAAACGCCAAGAAAATCCCACGAAAATGTCGGCCGATTCCCGCCGTGACCCGATAAGTTCTTCCGTAAACTCCGAAAATGTCGGTGTCGAATGCACCCTTTTTTTTCTGTGTGAATGAACGCGTTCCTTCACATAACGTGACCGAACTCCTTCAGTTTCAAGATGTCTCCTACTTAACATATCCCATGTATTACCTAGACAGAAAGAGGAAAAGAAGGGAAAGAAAGACATAAATGAAGAAGAAAAGAACAGAAAAGAGAAAGGGAGAAGGAAAGTGAAACCGCCAAGAAGAACCCAAATGCAACACACATAACACCCCCCCTCAAGATACCCAATCAAAACGCCCAGTCAAGACACCCTGTCAAGACATCCCATCCCGCACCCCATTCCCCCCCACCAATCACAACACCGAATCCACCATGTACGGGGCCTCCACCCAGAGAGCCCCGCCTTCCGCATCGCCATCGTCCCACTCCCGGTCCACCAAGTCAACGTTAATCCCCCCCATAGAAGACGCCTCTCGAAGCAGGATGACACGGGCTTGCGCACGTTGCAACGCCACCCCGATGAGCGCCTTCAGTGACCCTAGAAGATAAGCCGAAAACACAGTGTCGTCCTCCCGACAAGCCCCCCGCGACACAGCTAGCCCCACGTGCGCATCTCCCTGCTGACGAAGCCACCTCCGAAAGCGACCGCCGAGACACCCCCACGTCTCCACTATCAGAGGAGTGAACTGCACGCCTTGGTTGCGTGCAAGCAGAGGCGCGTAATCGCTCGTTTTACGACGCTCCCATTCTCTTGCCGCCACGCCTATTTGACGCCCGCATTGGTCGTCGCACGCTGATCTCTAGGGCGTGAGCCTCTCCAGCCATTGGTCGTCGCACCGCCACATCAACCCGCTTCCCCTGCAGCACCACACTATCCTCCATTGTCACCACCCCCCCAGACGCCTTAGAGATCTTCGCCACCACAAACTTCACCTCATCATGTACCCGAGATGGACCATGCTGGTGCTTGCATCTCAGGGCATGATGCGGGTCTGCTGGGTCAACATATGCTGTGCCACAAACACACCTCCCCGCCACCTGCAGCTGCTGAATTGGGAGCCCGAGCCGTATAGCAGCAGCAATGCCCCACTCCGCCGCAGTGAATGTGAGATCTGAGTGAGCCGGAACCGCCGAAACCCATGCACCAGCCCCCGGGCCCTGAAGGGATGTGAAACGGGCCAGGGTGGCATCGTCACGAGCCGAGCGACGCAGTTTCTGGAGCTCCTCTACCGCCAACAACCGCTGCCGCGCCTGGAAAAGCCGAAGAGGAGGGGCCGCTACGCACAGAGGTAAGCCCGGCATCTCCTGGCGTATAGTCGCAGGCAGCTGCTCAAGAGCCTTGGCAAACCACGGGTCAAGAAACTCCGCCCCTGCCGAAGTGGTGAGGTACTCCGCAAACATCGCCTCCTCGCCCGCCACCCCCAACTGTGCAATATCACGCGCAGCCTGCGCCCACCCACAAACATAGGACAGCGGACTCAAAGAGGCTGCTGCCCGGATCCCAAACCCTCCGAGTCGCACAGGGAGATGCAGCTGCATGCGCGCGCGCCTAGACCGGTCGGGGTCATGCTCCCAAGTGCCAGGTGGGAAAAGCTGCTCAAAGCAATCCTCCAGACAGCTATCCCAATCCCTGAAGGCCTCCACCACCTCCGGACGCGGCGGCATAGTCCGGGCCAGGTACATCGGCCGTGCTGAAACTGCAATGGCGAGGAGATGTGAAGCCATCTGGGGGTGGTCGAGCAGGGGGAGCCATGGCAATGGCGCCTGCAATTGTCTAAGCCGCTCCCGTAACCGGGTCACCTCCCAACCCTCCTCTCCAATAGGCACGCCCACCACAGTGAGACCCTCCTCCACCCGCTGCATCCCCAATGGCAATGCCCGCTCCACATCCCCGCCCTCGCGCTCCCAAAACCGGCACTTGTGCGCCTGCACCTCCAGCCCCACCCATTCCAACCGCTCCCGCAGCACCCCAAACGCCTCTAGAATCCTAGCCGCCGGTCCCAGGATATAGGTATCGTCTGCGTAGCTCAGGAAAAGTAGGTCCCTGAACTCTCTAGTCACCGACTCCATCACCTGCTGCTGCGTGAACGCGAAAAGAAAAGGGCCGAGCGGGTCCCCCTGCCGCGATCCTCGTGCCGACTCAAGGCTCTGTACAAAAGGGCCCGCTCGGAGGTACAGATCGCTAGGTGTCCCGTAGAAAACACGTAAGAATGGGATCAACCCTGAGAAAGGCGACTCCCGCAGCCCCTCAAACATCGCATGACGGTGAAACGAATTGAAGGCGTTCGCGACATCTATCTGCAGCGCACACCAGTCGGGGTGAGTAGCCAGCGCTGACCGGAAAGAATGGGTAAGAATCTCCACCCCGGCCCTGGTGCCCGCTCCCAGCTGGTTGCACGGCAGAAAGTAGGAAGCCATCGTAGGGCGGAGCGAGATGCAGAGAGCTCGAGCAAGGATACGCGGAAGCACTTCCCCAATCGCGACCGGCCGGACGTCGCCGTTAGGCTTGGAAAGCCCAACTAGGTTGGATGCGGCGAGCCAGGGCCGAGCCCGCTCGGGGACCTGTCCCGCCACCCATTGGTTGAACACCTCCAACAGGTGGGAAAGGCAGGAAGGTTCAGTGAGGAAGGTGTCGCGCAGATGCTCCGTGACCCACCCCGATGGCCCTGCTGCTGAAGCGCGAGCGGCTGTATGGATAGTTCTGGCCAGGATGTCGGCCGTGAGTGGAGGCCGCTGAGGAGCATCGACGGTGAAATCACGGACCCACTGTGGTACCTCGCTAGTGCTACCAGGGTGCTTCTCTCGCAGCGACTGCACCATGGCCTCAGACGGCCGGGCCAACTCCCCTGCCGTAAGGCAAGCCAATCCGCGGCTCCACTCTCCCACTTTACACCGAGATCGGCACCGTGACAGGCGGATGGCATCCGGGTCCTGGTCAGAGCAAGTGTAGGCAAGTGGGCGCACTGCTGGCCGCGCCGCCACCATGGCGGAGTCGAACAGCTCCCGCCACCTCCCCTCCCAAAACGCCCCCAACCGCTCTATGATCAGCGCCTTCTGTCCTATGCCTGGCTTGGGAGGCACGGCTAGGATGAGGCGCGGAAAAGCCAAGAGTAGGAGGGTAGCGGCTTCATCCCCTGGTCGGCTCTTCAAACGCTTTAAGACGCAACAGAGCGCGTCTAAGACCCCCGGCCGAGCCCGCTGTGGGATCCGGCGCACTGTCCTCCCTCCAACCGCCACCACACTGAAAAATGCTTCCCATTCCCAAGACGTAACCCCGGCCCACGCCTCGTCCCCAAATTCCCGCGGCGTCGGTCGCTCCTGCGTGCCGGTCTCCACCAGTGACGGGGTCGAGCCAAGTGCCTGTGCGCGCCTCTCCGCCTCAGCCGCCCGGCATACCCTCATGTGGTTCGGAGCAGCCCCTCGCGTAGCGAACGTGTGAAAACACGTGTCACACGGAAAACGAGGGCATGGGGAAGGCTGCATGGGAGGTTCTTCGTCCGCCTCTGACTCCTCCGCAGTCGCCATGGGGGTATCAAACTCCAAAAGTCGGCACCACTCCTCCAACTGCTGCTCCCGGTCGTCCAATGACTGCCCCCCTGGCTGCTGCTCTATCTGGGGTGCTCCGGTCACCCCCGGCTGCCCCCCTGGCTGTAGCACTCCCAGGGGTGCTCCGGTCGCCCCCGGCTGCCCCCCTGGCTGTAGCACTCCCTGGGGTGCTCCAGTCACCCCCGGCTGCCCCCCTGGCTGTAGCACTCCCACGGGTGCTCCGGTCACCCCCGGCTGCCCCCCTGGCTGCTGCTCTCTCTGGGGTGCTCCAATCGCCCCCAGCTGCTCCCCTGGCTGTAGCGCTCCCTAGGGTGCTCCTGTCACCCCCGACTGCCCCCCTGGCTGTAGCACTCCCAGGGGTGCTCCGGTCACCCCCGGCTGCCCCCCTGGCTGTAGCACTCCCTGGGGTGCTCCGGTCACCCCCGGCTGCCCCCCTGTTTGTAGCACTCCCAGGGGTGCTCCGGTCACCCCCAGCTGCTCCCCTGGCTGTAGCACTCCCAGGGGTGCTCCGGTCACCCCCGGCTGCCCCCCTGGCTGTAACACTCCCCGGGGTGCTCCGGTCACCCCCGGCTGCCCCCCTGGCTGTAGCACTCCGTGGGGTGCTTTGGTCACCCCCGGCTGCCCCCCTGACTGCTGCTCTCCCTCGGGTGCTCCGGTCACTCCCGGCCGCCCCCCAGGCTGCTGTGTTCTCTGGGGTGCTCCGGTCACTCCCGGCTGCCCCCCAGGCTGCTGTGTTCTCTGGGGTGCTCCGGTCACCCCCGGCTGCCCCCCTGGCTGTAGCATTCCCAGGGGTGCTCCTGTCACCCCCAGCTGCTCCCCTAGCTGTAGCGCTCCCTGGGGTGCTCCAGTCACCCCCGGCTGCCCCCCTGGCTGTAGCACTCCCAGGGGTGCTCCGGTCACCCCCGGCTGCCCCCCTGGCAGTTGCACTCCCAGGGGTGCTCCAGTCACCCCCGGCTGCCCCCCTGGCTGCTGCTCTCTCTGGGGTGCTCCGATCGCCCCCAGCTGCTCCCTTGGCTGTAGCGCTCCCTAGTGTGCTCCTGTCACCCCCGGCTGCCCCCATGGCTGTAGCACTCCCAGGGGTGCTCCGATCACCCCCGGCTGCCCCCCTGGCTGTAGCACTCCCAGGGGTGCTCCGGTCACCCCCGGCTGCCCCCCTGGCTGTAGCACTCCAAGGGGTGCTCCGGTCACCCCCGGCTGCCCCCCTGGCCGTAGCACTCCCCGGGGTGCTCCGGTCACCCCCGGCCACCCCCTTTTTTTTTGTGTCGTAATTACCCGAAAATCATGGTTGAGGCAGCAGTCCCGTGGTTAATTTCTGCCATGTAATCCTGACGTTTCGGCCGTATCGCCTTATGGAACAGCTGCACATCATACCTACAGTTACATCAGTTGTTAGATAAAGAGCAAATTCAACCTTAGAGTCACCATGCAAACCTGTTAACCAACCACTTGTCTGCGTCCTTCTCTGGCCACACCAACTGAACTGCACGCTGGATGCTATCAATACTAATTACCCCGCTGAGTTGCCTCCCAGTGCAGTACTTTGCACTTGGAAGCTGCATCCACTCGGGCCTGTTCTCGGTAGTACTTTACAAATGCAAAGTTTTTTGGGTTGCGAAGCAACCCTTTACAATCGATTTTGACAAATTTTCTTTTCATGTTTTATATAAACATGAAAATAAAATTCGTAAGCTACAGTACCACCCTTCCCATTGTGCATATATTAATCTCTTTTTTTTATTATAGTAGTTTTTTGCCTATTTACTATACTGTTTGCATTTTATCTTTTATTGCTTGTTGTTGTTGTGATAATTGCATGTAAAAATGTTACGAATATGAGTAATGAAGTACATACCACGCATGCTTAAATGAATGTAATGCGGCAAGATATATAGATGCATAATACTGATACATGGATGAAAATGCTTTTCCATGAAGCGAAATGCTGAAATGCAACATACGGGATGTCATACAAATGCGTGATAGTTAACGACCCAAAGACTAGGCTACCGCATCCCCTGCCTAGCATGGGGGGGAAGTCAATAGCAAAGTCTTTGAATAATAAACCAACACATGAAAAAATGCAATCTGTTAACTCTAAAAAAGAGGTTCACACTATCAAATCCAGTTCGAAGTGGCAAACACACGAGTCACTGAGTGCGCCAATGAACCAATGAGAAATGATAGAAATGAACCCCTTTTTTAAAACTGACAGACACGCATTAACATTGCAATGATCAATGAGATGAATGCACTCTCATAATCAAACACATTCACACAATCAAAAGCACAAACAGCAGCAAACCCAGCCAAAATACGCGATAATAAATAACATGCAAATCAACATTAAATGGACAATATGACAAGATAAATCCTGAAAGTGACCGATACACATTTTCCAGATTCAAATCCCCTTCCTGAGCAGCAAGACTCATGAGAAACGGGTTTAGAATGTAGAAAGGAGGAACGAAAGAAATAGTCGGTACAAAAAAAAAAAACAGAAAGGAAATGAGGTGTGATGAAATGACGAGATGCAGGAATAACCAAGAAACGAATGAAACAATACAAGGGCTAAGAAAAACGCCGTGAGCATTGAAAGGTTAGAGCCGACAAATAGAAAGGAGGTACAGAGGCATAAAACGAAAGTAAGGAACGGGAACAGAGGGAAAAAACACATAAGAGCTAGGTCGTACGGAATGAACGAACGAAGGAGGACATGAATACCATGCAAGAGGATGTGAAACCGAAAACTAGAGAAAATAGGATGTGAGATGACGGACTGAAAGAAGAAGAGAAGAGATTAGGAAGAAATACGAACTGGAATATCTAAATAAAAAAACGGAATATGTCAACGGAGAATGCGCAGGACGCTGAGTGTCATCATCGGCATCTAAGAATAGAGGAAGTAAAGCTTACCTAAGAAGCTGTAGGTGAGAGTGGCGGCCTCTCCCTTAGCGCGCCTGGCACGAGCAAAAAGTCAACAACGCGCCAAGCACAAGCAGAACGTTTCCAGCAAGAAGTTACAAGGGGAAAACAAAAGAGAAACGCGGACGGAGAGAAAATGAGAAGAGAGATAACAATAGCGGATGGAGAGAGAAGGAAAGGAGAAAGACATACGGAACCTTGAATATGCAACAAAACAGGAGTAACAACAACAAGGTAGCAAAAACGAAGGCATGATACAAAAAAAACGGAAAGGTAGTCTTCACGTGACGAAGGCATGATCTCGAGTTAACTTTCTCCTAGTCAACTTAAGTAGGCTAACGATAGTCTTAACAAACTAGCAACACTTGCTATTCCTACTCTTCCAGCTGCTGCTACTCTCTTACCTAGAAACTGGAATAGCGTGACAGACAGGAGTGGTTGGAGAAGAAGCAGAGGAAAGGAAAGAAGGAACGTGAAAAACCTAACCACCTCATTCGTCGCGTCAAAATCATTTAATGAACGTACGAACGAGTATCGACGGGGTTTAGCACAATGGTTTGAGTTTGGCCTCAGAATCGGAAGGTTGCAGGATTGATTCTGGTAGTCGAAGTTTACCCTCAGAAAATTTGTAGTTAAATCTCAATGAAGAATGTTCAGTTTTTTGAACATTAAATACAACGTATACAACTAGACCAATAGCTTCGCAACCCTAGGTCGACTTTGTCGCCTCTTGTTTTTTTTACCCTCGACATTAGCATGAAACAACAGGAGGGTCTTCCCAAACCACTCCTCGTCCCCGTCCGAGCCCTCGCCTTTTACCGCCACATCTGAAAACCATTGCCGGCTGTGGTGTATGGGCAAGGCGCGGATGCGGTGCAGCAAACGGCTATACTGCGCATCAACCGCGGCAGGCATGACGAGTTCCCAATGAACCTGCATAGGATTCAACAAGTGAAAGAGTCAGTTGGTTGCCATGAAACGAGGTGTAGAACCACATCAGAATGACACCGGACGTACATATAGTTCTTCAAAAACAGTCCCCTTGTCGTCACAATCGGGTGCCCTGTCCAATGCCACACGCAGGTGCTTTAAGTCCCTCGCCGATTATGGCCTGCAAAGGGCCATCACGCTCCAGGTCTGGTACACGAGGGTTTGGGGCTGCGCCACGCGTTTCAAGCACGTGCAATGTCCACGCCCTTTTGGACAGAACCCGCTCGCCTGTCCGTTGGGCCTGCACACATGGCGACAGATGGCAACCTCGTAATGCCTATGTAATAAGAGTCTTACGCTGGTGAGAGAAGACATAGTAGCAACTGTAACGTACCTTCACCATGGCTGTGTCATATGTCTTCTTCTTCTCGAGCTGTGGAGCGGTGTATTGTAGACGAAGCCGCGCCTCTTCGCTGCCCACAATCTGGCTATTGACTGACCTTTTGTTGGACGCCTTGTAAGGGTTTTTATGTGCAGGAGCTCGTATAATTGTGCAGAGTTGTGCTCGGGCAACCCCGACCTACGAATGGAGTCTATGGAGTCTATGAGGTGCATTTTGATGAAGTTCCAATCTGATGTGTGTGGGAAGGCGGTCTTGAGGTTGTGTAATATCCTGCATCAAGGAATACAACGTAGCCATTAGGTATGCACAAATTAGAAACAAAATCAAGGCAAATTGCACCATACAACTGACTTGTGCGCCTTCGTCTTGAATTCAATGAGGGTGGTCCTCGGTGTGCTCTGATTCCCCGGCGCACACTCGAGATACCACTCCAGTGCGTCCATCTGCTCCTGCGTGATAAATCCCTTCACAATGAAGGGAAGTATCTGCATAACAGAACGATGCTCGTAGGCCTGATAGTTTTGCCCCTTTTTTCGAAGTACTGGCCCGATGGCAACCGCATGTTCCCCCCCTAATGTTCTTCTTGTAGTACCTAAGAATTCTGTCCAGTTTCTTCGTATCAGCCAACAGCTTCACATGCATACGAATGAAGTCAACAATGTGCTAAAAAATGCCCAAATCCACTTGGTGCATCACATCGGGCTGCACCGCAAGGTACGGGTTCAGAATTGTGTCAGACTCCCACCTCCATCTGCTCCTGCGTCATAAATCCCTTCACAATGAAGGGAATTATCTGCATAACAGAACGATGCTCATAGGCCTGATAGTTTGCCCCTTTTTCGAAGTACTGGCCCGATGGCAACCGCATGTTCCCCCCTAAATGGTCTTCTTTTAGTACCTAAGATTTCTGTCCAATTTCTTCCTATCAGCCAACAGCTTCACATGCACACAAATGAAGTCAACAATGTGCTCAAAAATGCCAAAATCCGCTTGGTGCATCACATCGGGCTGCACCGCAAAGTACGGGTTCAGAATTGTGTCAGACTCCTACCTCCAACGCTAGGAAGCTCTGCACAAATCAAAACCAGCCCAATGTGTTAGTAACATAAGTTAATGTACGTAATGAGTAGCACCAAAAACAGAAACCTTGAGGAATGGTTACCTGCACTGGTGTGCGCGGACAAGGTTTGCATACGCATCGGGCGCGACCTGACCTTCCAGAATGTCACGCACAATGGTATCTTGCTCGCACGGTGTCCGAGCATCGATACGATCCTGCAATACTGCAAATGTTTCTTATCGACCTTGCATATCGAACAAGGGAAACATGGTTCCCAACAACTTCGTGCAAGTGATCTTGCACGACTCCGGATAGTCTGACACATATGCATACAAGTAGGGCCACACGTTGATGCTCTCGCCTACTGCGTTCTTCATTGCACTGCCGGTCTAGGAAGCCATCTTGAGCGATTGCAATACCTGTCTCATGATGCAACTATGGACTTGCATTTTTTCCACCACGTTGTATTCGCAAGAAACTCAGGGAGAAGTGCTAGAAGGCATGACCATAGGGTTGCCACATGTCATCCTTATCATGTTTCCCAGTGTGAGATACACGGGATGCCCCTTCGCCTTCCCTTATGTTCCATATGCGTTTCATCGCTCGCAAGGATCAAAGCAACCACTACTCCATTTGGATCCTCTTCGCGCACCAACGTTTGCAACCTCTTCCACCAAAGGCATGTTTCGGGGTGCTAAACACCCTCTACGTTTCCAACGTATTCTGGATCTGCATCAAACACCATTTAGCGGCCAGCTTAGGGTGCTTCAACAAATATTTAAGAGCAACGAAACGATCACAGTGCAGGAATTTTAGTCACGCTTTGTTTCGCGACCGGATGGTCATCCGTCGCCACCCACGCGGTGGCCATCAGTCGCCTTGGACTCCGCGTACGCTTGAACGTCACGGTAGGTCTCCCCATCATGAATTTCAATGATGTCTAGTGTAGGATTTCCAGCAACGCGTTGATCTGTTCAATCGAGAGCCGGTTAGAGAGGATCCAATGCGCAAGAGCATCCTTGAGTTGAGCTTGTGCGCCTCTTCCCTGCCGGTAATTCTGCACCTACTTGAGATGCTGCCCCCCCATCTTCAAAAGCACACGAGGCACCA